AAAAAATCTGAAAACAATATATGTTATTCAGAAGAATAAACTAAACAACATTTGCCTCAACGTTACATCCAAATTCTTCACCAAATTTGAAATAAAAATCAAATACTAAAAATAAATAATAATAATGAAATTAGAAAAAATAAAACGAGAATGAAATTATTGAGTGGGCGAGCACGTTTTTGACACCGCCATCTTTGGTGATTTTTCATTTTTTTTTGGCTGTGACAAATTCCATGAAAATTTGTATATGTGTATCTTACATAATAGAGAATATACAAGTAAAGTTTAAAAAAATAATATTTTGTTTCGTGCCCCGAAAAAAAGGAAAAACAAAAAGTGAAAAAAAAGAAAAAACAAATTAGTGAGTGGGCAAGCAAGTTTTGACACCACCATCTTTGCCGACTGTTCGTTTTTTTTTGGCTGAAAAGAATGGCTTCAAAATTAAGAGGGAGATACCTTACATCACAAGGAACTCACATAAAGTTTTTCAGAAACAAATAATAATATTTAGTTGCCAAAATATTTTTTTGCGGGGTCTGAACCCCTTCAGGTTCGGTCCCCGTAGGGGGACCCGAACGCCCGAACGTTCGGGGGTCCGCTTAGAGGCCTCCGTACGTTCGGCCTGGCAACCCTATATATATATGGAGGGCGTCATGATCACTGCTGACAGAAGTCGAGTTTATTCCAGAAAAAATGTGGCAGTTACTTTGTTCACTGTTGTTGGGACCACCACCATCAGATCAATTGTGATCTGATGGCTGGGAAGCACTCTGCCGTGATTTCCCGTGGGAGGTCTCTGTTTCTTTTTTTTTTTTTTGCCTCTCTCCTGTTTTCTCAGCCCAGAAATTTGTGATGAACCCGTCAGGCCGCTGCCACTCAGTGTCACACTGTATCGGCCACACTCCTGTCCGACTGCTAATGGGACCATGCTCCATTTGCTGTCGGGGAGCTGCCCTGCAGCTGGCAACGTGAGTGCTCTCGCCGTCTTTGTCTTACTGGAACTTGATTTCTGCTTGCTGGGGAAGAGTAACCGGACTGTTGCCCCCCAGAATAGAAGGGGCCTTTTGCTTAAGGAAAAAGAAAAAAAAAAACGGCAGCGAGAGTGCTCTTGCCGACCTGCCACCCGCTTAATGTCCTCGTTTTGCGCTTTGGTTGTGTCTTTTTTTCACAGTGCAAGAGGAAGTCCTCTCTCTCCTTCACACTCATCTTTCTGTTTTTCTTCTTGGAGGGGCTGGGGTTGAAGAGCTTGACTTACATCCATCCAAATCTGAAGGGGGTGGGAGGATTAGAACATGCGCAGGAAAGCACGACCCTGCGATTTGCGGTCAGCTCCTTCTTCATCATTGCCATATCAGGACTGCAGGTAAAGGGCTGCCAGCAAAATGATTTTTTTTTTTTTTTTTTTTTTTTTTTTAATGTAACTTAAAGGGAGTGCAGGTAAAAGGGTTTCACTTTGGGGATGGGATTGGCTGGAAGTGCTTTTCTCAGCCTTGTATGGCTTCAGCATTCATGTGAGGGACGCTGGGCCTGTTTTCCGTATTTAATTGAAAGTTAAGAAAAAAAAAAAAAAGGTTTCACTTAAAATCAAAAAGAAAAAAAGAAAAAAAGAAAAAAAGAAAAAAAGAAAGGGTTTCACTTCTCAGTGCTGTGAGAGTCCTAGCCGGAAGAGCAAAAGATCTCTAAGGAAGCGGCGCAGACTCCAGTCTGAGCTCAGCCGCTGCAGCACCTTCGCAGCTCTCAGCCAATGGCATGGAGCGATGGTTTTTCAAGAAAAATAAAATCGCGAAGTGCTAGTGGATAGCAAGGATTCTATTGAATTTGTTCTTCTAATTATGCTTATTCTTCTATTGATTCCCCCCCCCCTTTTTTAACCCATGTATTTTGCGGCCGCCCTCCACGATTCAGACCCCAAATTCGAGTTTCGCGGTCAGTTTCAGAAAAAGTCACAGTCGGGTACCTTAGCAGTCAAGTCCAGCAGGCACCCGGCAAACAGTCACATCTTAGGGGCAAAATCATGTCTCTCAATGGAAAGTCTCGTTGGAGAGTCACATCCCACAAGTAAAAGGGCAGTTCCATAGGTAGAGGTCGTGTCCCAGCGGCAGGAGCCACAGTCCACAGTCAAAACCATGTGTCATAATAGAAAAGTCGTGACTCAAAGGCCCAAGCAGCAGCAGACCAATGAAAAATTCGGGAAGGCTCCAGGGCCTGACATTCAAAAGCAGACAGCCCGTGGGGATGTGGTACTGCCAGGTGGAACCAAGTCAAGCCCCAACAAGCAGAGGCTGGCACGAGTTGAAGCTCGGTCCAAGACAATACAAGGACTGGGCAGCCTCCCCATTGCGCAGATTGCTCATTCGCATGAAGTGTGGAAGTGCTGGTGCACTTGTGCGCTATTGTGAGGGGCGAAGCACTGAGACAGGAAGCCGAGCTAGCAGAGAGAGAGGGAGCAGTGATAGCTGTCCCAGTGCTGGCAGAGGGAAGCCAGCCATAGCTGCGCCAGTGCTAGTAGTTATTAGGAGACTTCAGAGATGTTAGTAGAGTTAGCAGTGGGTGTACTATTCAGAGTTGGTCCTTGAGTAGTAGTAGGTGTGTGAGTGCATGCAAGTAGGGAGAGAAGACACAGGGAGGTAGTAGACAGAGAGAAGACCGAGAGAGAAGAGAGAAGAGCTTCGGAAGAGTTGCATACCTGAGTGGGGATACTGGATACTTGGGTTTGCGCGGTTGAGCGCCTGTGACTGAAACTCTTAATTGCTTATATGATAATTCATTGGGATTGTAACGCTGCGCTACCTGGTCTTCATCTCTCTGGCCTCCAGTGTGAATTTTTGTGTGATCGCATTCATGCATGTTGTGTGATTGTGTGCGCTCATTTGTGGTGAACTGACAGGTTTGTTGCAAGTACAACCAGGTTACCTGGTCACTGATGATCGCATGGATTCTATTGAATTTGTTCTTCTAATTACGCTTATTCTTATATTGCTTCCCCCCCCCCCTTTTTTAACCCATGTATTTTGCGGTCGCCCTCCCTTGACTTGAACGCTCATATAAAAAGAAATGGAAAGTTGAACTTCGTTCTTTGTGGCTAACCTCTACCAAACCCTTTCCTGACAAACTTAACAGGTTTTGTATAGGAATGAGATTCATCATAGATTCATTCAAGATCCATTGGTTCAAGTAAGTTAAAGACTCTACCTTTTTCCTCCTTCCCCCCCCCCCCGAAAACAACTTCTTCCTTTCTCTCCTTTCCACCCCTTGGCTGCTTGAAAATGCCTAATGTATTATTTGTTGGTTACTTGCTTGTGCGGCTTGTGCCCCTTTAAATTCCTTTTCCCCTACCAACGATATCAGGGACACAATCAGATAAACACTGACAAAATTATTGTTTCTCTCTCTCTCTCTCTCTCTCTCTCTCTCTCTCTCTCTCTCTCTCTCTCTCTCTCTCNCTCTCTCTCTCTCTCTCTCTCTCTCTCTCTCTCTCTCTCTCTCTCTCTCTCTCTCTCTGTGTGTGTGTGTGTGTGTGTGTGTGTGTGTGTGTTCAACCTGAGGTTAGGGATTTCGACATAGTATGAAATACTATGAATAGTCCACTAGGATCTCAAGGTCTGCCGGTACTCTACGCAGAGGCGGACCTGCTGCGATTACAACTCAGATGCCCAACATAGCACAACAGGGACACAAATATAGGACTTCAAGGTTTGGGGTTAGGAGGTAGACCTCTCAAGATTCTCGAGATTCGAACTGAAGGCCAAAGTACTCACTATGATTGCTTTTATTGTTTTCACACATGTGGTCTATGCTAGTTCGCTGTGCAGTCCCACTCTCAATATTGGGGCACAATCGTGGTTGCTTTTATTGTTTTCACACATGCGGTCTATGACTCTATGCTAGTTCGCCGTGCAGTCCCACTCTCGATTGAGGGGCACAATCATCCCACTCACAGTCTTTGTCCCAAAGACTGTTGTTGGATGTGGTGAGTTTTGAGTCCCAGCAGAATTACACACTCTTACTCCAAGTTTCTCAATTCGCATCCTTGCTCACACGGAGTAACCGGTGTAGAAGTTGCACTAGGACTGAGTGGCTTTGGCTCTTAAGGATCTACATAGCAGTTGATGTTCGTTAGTATGGCTTCTAATTCTCCTTTTTCGTCAAATCATTCGTTTCTACTCCTTTTTCGTCCACCTGCCCTTGGTGCTGACCTTTCACTCTTGCGATGTGGTTAATTGCTTGTTGTCTTTGACAACCTTGCTCACACGGAGTAACCGGTGTAGAAGTTGCACTACGACTGAGTGGCTTCGGCTCTTAATGATCTACATAGTAGTTGACGTTCGGCAATATGGCTTCTAATCCTCCTTTTTCGTCAAATCATTCATTTCTACTCCTTTTTCGTCCACCTGCCCTTGGTGCGGACCGTTCGCTGATGCGATGTGCTTAATTGCTTGTTGTGTTTGACAACCTTATCGGGTCCAACTTTCATACTGACCTCTGGCATTTCCGAAGGTGTCTGAAGGGGGAGGGGGGGGGAAGAACGTGTCCCGGCAGAGGTGGGAGTGTGGATAAGACGGCGATCAGGGAGATTTCAAAAAACCTTTGTAGTTACAACCTTAGGGTGCTAGCTTTGTGTTTGGGTGCTTTCGCCCTTTCCTTTTTTGTTTGGGGATACAGAGGCTGTGACACACTTTTAGTTTGAAATAGGCAAGAAAAGACAAAGTGACACCGGTGTCATGGTGTGAGTTCTGAAATGTGCAACTAGTTTAGACGGGCTCTAAAACTGCGCCAGTAATTACCCGCAGTGGCGCTTGGCAGATTTGAGTTGGCCTTTTTCGCTCCATTTCGGGAACTGCTGAAGTTGCCTATACTGAACGTCAGGTGTGACTCCAATGTACTTGCCCCTTTCTTTTTTATTATCAGTTGTTTCCAATATCAAATCCTTTTTTTTCTCCTTTTTTTTTTTCTTTTTTTTTTAATAACACGTTTTCGTCAACAGATAAGAGTGATGATGAGTGCATCCACTCCTACCTGTCTTGCACGAGGATCGAGTCTATTGGTGGGGAGCTACACCTGCTGGAAACCAGGTCCAACCCCCCCTGAGATATGATAGCAGGTTCCCAAGTTTTTTCCAAATGTCCTGCTCAGTCAATCCCCTGTATTCCAGGGTAATCAATGCTGGCAGGTTTGTTTCTCTGAAGTTCTCTGATGTTCCCTCAAAAAAAAAAAAAAAAAAAAAAAAAAAAAAAAAAAAGAGATATGATAGCAGGATGCAATTTTGTCCAGTAACTTCGCGGTTCTTTCTTTTCCGCCATTGTTCTTTTTGTACAATCCCTTCAAAAAGAGATCATAAAAAAAATTAAAAATTAAAAATAAAAAGAAATTAAAAAAAAAGAGATCATCAGCGGTTACATCTCTCTCTCCAAATATCAACTTCGCATCTGCTCCCAAGTTCTCTATAAACCTGTTTTTGGCGAGCATGCAAACGAGGCAAGGGTGGGGCGGGCTAGCTTGTCCGCCCATTGTTGGTATGTTTCAAGATTTCACCTGCACACTAAAAAACACACATTATCAAGCGTAAAATTCACCAATTTCTCAAGGTCACACAGTCTCTCTGATTTGCATCCGCTCTCTCCTGCTGCTTTGCACAGCGATGGCCCCTTACCCTCTGTTTTCAGCCAGATTCAGTGCTTTCCTTTGGTTCTCACTTCAGAAAAAAAATCCATTTCACTGCCTTTCTGGCCTCACATTCTTTGCGAATCTACTGATTCATGTGATCGCTTTTACATTATATGTTCGAATCAGGATTCTCCGATCTTGCTTTTTTAACCACCAGTACAAATGCTACCGCGTTTTTACGCGTTAAACACGGTGGATGAATCGGTGTGCCGTGTGGGTCTATATCCGTTCACGTCAGAGGGGGGCTAAGGCCGGGACCCCACAGGAATTCCTTTGGAAAAGACGTTTCCGCAGAACGGTCGTCGGAATAGTTTCGGAAAGTTTGGAAAGCCTTCTGCAGGGACCCCACAGTGGAGGGAGTTTTGCCGCAAAATGTTGATAAAGCTTTCCGTAATAGGAAACGTGCCCGCCAAGCGTCCCGAAATGGAAAGTGGTAGTTTGTCTGAGTGACCACCCGTGGAGCGTAGGAACCAGCAACGTCCGGTAGAGGGCGACTTTGGGCGGCGGTTGTGGGACTAATGGTCAACGGGACCGAAGGTGGGCCCCGTCTCACAGTGCGACAGCCTCCGTGAAACACACTGCTGCTCCAGGACCCGAACAAACGGTTGAGCGGACATCGTCTCGTCCGGCCTGTGGTCGAGACCTTGGAAACCTTCGGGATGCCCCHCCCCCCCCCCCGTTGGAGAATAGGCACAATATTGCGGCGGAAATCCCTCCCGCGGAACTTTTCCGCGCCGCAGACCATGTGGAAACGGAATTCGATCCTTTTCCAGGCCACAAAGCGCGCATGTGGGGCCCCGCGGAACACTGCCGCGGAAAACACAGAACCTTTCCACGACCTCTTCCGGGGCATGTGGGATTCCGGAAACAATTCCGCCGCAAAACTTTTCAGTCTTTTCCTTGCCGCATTCCTGTGGGGTCCAGGCCTAAGACCCCCTGAGGTACTGGTGGATTAACTCGCTGGTTCACTATTTGCAGTTTTGGATTCAGCTCACCCCTTGCCATAAAGGTTAAAATGTGCTCCTTTTTGTTCTTCGGATCCGAAATTTTAGGGCGTACTCACACAGCGTGACAGCGGTGGCAGTCTAGCAAAATCTGCTGAATTTTATTTCCCATGTTTGCTGAAATACTACCCCGCCCAGTCACACATGGGTTGTAAATCAGAAAGGACACGAGCGGGACTCTCTGGCAATTGCAAAATTGGTGCCTCTCATGGTCACAAAGCATGGAAATTTTCTTCTAACAATTCCCAAAAGGCGAAAGAGAATTTGTCACGGACAAAAGAGAATTTGCCACCACCTCTCRAGGTGGTAGCAAAATGCCCATCCCCGCGGCCCCCCAGGCCACTGACAAATGCTACCCGGTTTGCAACTTTGGTGGTCGGAAAACCCTAGTGTGACTCTAACAGCACAGCGGATTTTGCGATTTAGCCAAAAAAACCACTAGTGTGAGTATGCCCTTAGATCTTTAACCAAGGGATTTTCATGTAAAGAAATAACACATTGCACAACGATTTAATCTAGTGGAGGACAAAAAAAAAAAAAAAAAAAAAAAAAAAAAAAAGGAGGACACAATGTGTAACAAAAGTTATCCAGAAGGATCAGAGATCCTCTCAGCATCGGCTGCATCGCCCTTGTGCCAAGTTGTTACTCGCAAATCTTGCAGGGCTTAGGAAGGAGGGCGAATCGGCCTTTTTTTATTCACATCTTTATCTTTACTCATTATAAAATTATAAATGCATTCTGCAGGCAAACTTTGGGCAAGTTTGGTGCCCTCATTTGTGAAACCATTTCACTTTGCTCTCGCTGAATCTTCTCAAAATTGGGATTGCCATTGAAAGCTTTCCACATTCCTGCTTAATATAGAACAGGGAACAGGGTATTCAACGGTTTCAGCCAGAGTAGCTCCCAGGTTTTGATCCAACCGATCCAGGACTAGCCCATTCAGAGCTTCTCTGACTCTCCACACGTCTTCTCTGTGCTTTTCTCCCAACACTCCCTCCCTCTCTCTCTCTCTCTCTCTCTCTCTCTCTCTCTCTCTCTCTCTCTCTCTCTCTCTCTCTCTNTCTCTCTCTCTCTCTCTCTCTCTCTCTCTCTCTCTCTCTCTCTCTCTCTCTCTCTCTCTCTGTGTGTGTGTGTGTGTGTGTGTGTGTGTGTATACATGTGCACATTTGACATGCATACATTTTTTTTTTTTTTTTAAATGGAATGTACTGTGCATTTATTCCCTGCAGTACACACTTTGCATTGTTCTTTTTTAGAATCTTCTCATGCACGGCAGTTTGCATCATGTCATAATAATCCTAGCTCCCTAAAACGACATACAAAAAAAGCATCCCGTAACTGACACAATTATTTGGAGGAAGAAGACTGTAGAATGTGCAGAATGACAAAACACATATTAAATAGACAAGACACACAAGCCCACAGAACGCATATTAAACAGACAGAGCCTGCGAAAGGCTGCAACGCAGTTCCACAAATTTAAAGACAAATAGGAAAGCTCAGATTCTTC